GAGCACACCTCGTTTTTCAGACCGATGAGTTTTGTAAAAATCGACGCGTTTCAGAAAGGCGGGGCATAGAGGAGAAACTATAATGTACAGTATGTGGAAAATAATGTGTTTTTTTTTTACTTTAAACCGCATAAACACATTTCATTACACCAAATACACAAAATAATGTTCTTTTTAGCAACATCATATGACCCCTTTAACATCAATTAACAACTTGTGAAGCGAAAAGCTGCGTGTTTATATAAAAACTAATTAATCATTAAGACATTTTAACTTCAAACCATTTCTTCTGGCTAAAATATGAGTCCTCTAGCCATAATGTTGCTTTCTCCAATGAAAAAGTCTCGTCTGACTCAGGAGAGAAATATGCACAGATCAAGCTCTGTTTCTGAGCAGAAACAATCCAAAACAGTTCTAAACAAATATGTCAATGAATTTTGATGTGAGAGGACAACAGGGGAAGGATTTTTTTTCACTGGAGGAAACGTTATTATGGATTATGGACTGATATTTTGGCCAGAAACTAGGGTTTAAAGTTAAAACACCTTAATTATGGATCTGTTTATTACAAACATGCAGCTTTTTGCTTTACAAGACATTGATTGATGGACTGGAGTCATGTGGATTACTTGTGGATTATTATTATTATTATTATTGTTATGTTTTTCTCAGCTGTTTGGACTCTCATTCTGACGGCACCCATTCACTGCAGAGGATCCATTGGTGAGCAAGTGATGTAATGCTACATTTCTCCAAATCTGTTCCAATGAAGAAACTCATCTAAATCTTGAATGGCCTGAGCTGAGGGCGAGTAAATTTTCAGCAAATTTTCATTTTGGGTTGAAGGAGTAGACTGACAAGCATGCAGAGAGCCATGGCATTTGTTAGCACGGTAGTTTGGGGGGGGGGAAATACAAGCATTGGCTTTTCAGCAATATCGTAAAAAAAGAAAAAGATAAGTGCATAAAAGCTGTTTTAAAGCATTATCTTTCTAACATCAATCTGTGCCTCTGTAATTAAAAGGGAGGTGACAGGTATTTATGTTAATGGCAGCAGCACTTCTTAAATGCCCACAACTTGAATCCGACCAAAATTCTGGCATCAGTCGCAAATCCACAACAGATTATCAATCAGGGGTCCGTGGCTGGGGAAAAACCTTTTAAAACACGCTGATGTGCAGAAACTGCGCAATAAAAAATGGCCCCCTCTTCACTGGATCCCAGCCCCAACAACCTAGATCTATTAGTATAAGCAGAACAACAATCGCTGAATTATTGATTTCCTCATTAGACTTTTTGTCAGGACCATTTAGTGACGTTAAAAATGAGCTTTCATTAGCCACTTGCAGGAGAACCTCGCCGCCTTTGATTTATAATGTGCAACATGGTCAATATATGGCAGAACGGATGAGGAAAACACAGCACACATGCTGAGATCGGCCTCCATATGTAACAACACACACCTCAAAGCACAGATTACATGGACTCACACTTCTTCATAGTGACAGAAGCTGAAAACTTAGTTATAGCATACATTCAGGACATACAGGATGCCTGGATTAACATATGGACCTTTATGTTCGTTATGCATCTAGGTAGGACTGCTAATTAAAAGCTGCATTAAAACCCAGAACAGAATGTTGAGGGATGATTTGTTAGCATAATTTATATTTTATCTGATTGCGAAGGGTAACAGCCACAGGTAACTGTCTGTGTTGCACCATTCGTGAACTTAGTGTCATTTTGACTGGATTCCTTACTAACTATTTGTTTTAGTGTAATAGAATTTGGCTCCAAATCAATATGCTGTATTTTTTAAAGAACTGAAGAAACTTCATACAGCATAAAAGTTACAAAAATGTAGTTTATAAGACTTCAAATTCTGAATATTCTGAAGCAATTTTTGAATTGGAATATGAATGGCTGAGATTTTAGAATTAGAATTTAAATGAATGACTGAACAATTGAATAAATAAATGAATTAACAATTAATAAAAATGTGTGTGTGTGTGTGTGTGTGTGTGTTAAGAGATAAAGAAAGAGAGAGAGAGCGAGGCATTACTACTAAATAAATATGAATCAATTTTTGCATTGGAATATGAATATGGATGAGTTTTGGAGGAGAGATTTAAAAAATGTAAAGATATCGCTTTAGAAGGTATGTAATCTTTCACATAGTTCAGACTTAAATACAGGTGCTTTGTGACAATTTTTGTTCATAGAAGTGGCCAAGATAAACTGTTCTTGTATTAAAAAAAATGTGTTGTGCAAAGACGTCAACATTTCTACTTATGTTTCACAGAGAGAGAGAGAGAGAGAGAGAGAAAGCATACAGGGATTGGATCAAAAGAAAAATAAATAATGAAGTAAAAACTAAACAAAATATAGTTGTCCAATTATAGAAGTTTCAGGGTTTCTAACATATTGCAGATCTCAGACAATGTGTCTTTTTCCTAGACCTCACCTCTGATTTCCAGTATTGTAGACATTTGAGCAAAAGATCAGTATAGATTGAGCCAAGATGGCTTCTTAGTCGATTCCCTCCACTTAACCTAACAAGAGTGCTAAAGCGACAAATCAAGCTGATCCCTTTGCTCATTAGGTAATTAGGAGCATCTCATCTCTTCAATCGGATTCCCATCTGTTCCGTTCCCTTTTACCGACGCACACAAGTAGGGTTGATAGACAGGGTCACAGCTGCACTAAAGACTGAGGGAAAGATCTGTACACATGCTAGGCGGGGTGGAATGAAATTTTGGATTATTCTTACATGGAAACAGAATTATAAAAGACCACCGAGTTTAACAAAGTACCAAAAATGTACATAAAGTGTTTCGAATCAACACGGTCTGTTGTGTGTCTTCCTAGTGCTACCAAACATGGACTTGAGGCAAAGTGTCACGGTGGCGTTGTCGACCCGAGGCGACTTTGCCTTTTGCCACTTTCTGCTGCGTCTGAGAAAG